TTCTTTCCCAAGTACAGCTTCCGCTGAACTCCCCATCGTCATCTAATGAAACTGGTTGGGTCAGTTCCCACACTGGTAGTTTTGAGCTTTCTTCTGATAGAAGTTTCCTCTGCATATGACAAGCCAGATTATGAGAGCATTTTATGAGCTTTCTTCTGATACAAGATGAACAGACAGTTTAAATGTTCCTCTGGGGCAAGAAAACATGATATAAATGTTCCTCCTTTTGGAAAAAGAAGGCGAAAGGAAGAAATCAAAAGACACTTTGAAACTAGCAAAATAGGGCAACGTAAAAGAGAAGGAAAAGAACTTGCACTTCACTCAAGAATCAAATTCTCAATTAGGAATATGGGACACAGTAGCCTGAAAAGAAAAGAGAGGAAAAAGCTTGGGAATCAAATTCTCAATTAGAAATAAGGGTACAATAGCCTGAAAATAAAAGAAGAGAAAGAATGTGTCGGACTTGGGTGGGTTGGGCATGGGGAGGAAATAGCGAATGCTGCCCTGGACTTTGATTAGTCAAACTACAAACTTGAGCATGTAAGGGTAGACTTCAACATGCAATAATAAATAGTAAATGGTAAACCATGCCGAAGTAAAAGCTCATAGGCGTTCAATCTTCTTAACGACTCTAAGGACAAAAAAGGAACGATCACTAGTACCGCTGTACCAAGACCAGACATAATACAACTAGAAATGGACTAAGACCAACCTATGACATGAAGTTTTATAGTCCAAGAGCACGATTCTTTCAACAAGCGTAGACGGTAAACTGGAGCTCCATATGTAACCTGCAGTAGTTACAAACATGTCAACCCCATTGTACGGATTAGTTAAATGCCAGTGTGTGTTGAACAGCTCGTTTGAACACGTAAAAGGCTCTTGAAAGACAAAGCAAAACAACACAATCAAGATGATAACTTCATCCCTTACCAGAATATAAACTCCTTTTTCCTTGAGGACCCTATAGTTTGTCACCAACTGCTTCAATATATGCTGAACACATCAACAGGAAAAACTAAAAGGAAAGAACAAATAATTCTACGTTTTAATCCAATCCTTCATTATACCTCCAAACTTCCTCAAGCATCTGTGTTGCATTCTGCCGTGAGTTATTCCCACACTAAACAGATAAAAAAAAAATTCCATTAATTACAATCATTCTCTGTGAGAAACGGATAAGAAACACGATGACGGTCACTCACCAAAATAGAGTCTAGAGTTCCTGGAACGCCGTAATTTGACGGTTTTTTATTTGAATGAAAATACAAACAAAAATTTTACATTAATGACATCCAAACAAAATAGTAAAACAATCAATTACTAATATCAATAAATGTTTATAGTAGCACCTTTATCAATAACAGCATCAAAATAAGCAGCTTGAAAATCAGTCATAGAGCGGACATCCATTTTAATATCTGCTAAACAATAATTATCGAGGAAAGTATTAAATTAAACAGCAATTAGTATATAGAGTTTACATTCTGTAAGCAAATTACTTGTATTTCAATAACAGATAGAAAGATTTCGCGCTGTTCATTGGAATTTTGTGGTTAACAAGATGGCTCATGTTTGAATAAGAATCAACCGATAGCTATTAGTTTAGAAACAGATCGAGCATAAACGAAAAACTGATATGACGGGTTGATCTGTCTTTTTCTCCAATGCCTACCGAGGGAATAACTCGGCGAGGTGACAACTTAAAGAGTTATGTTCTATATTAGCTATAAATGTGAACTTAGTACACCATCTCTCCGATCTAAAAAGCCAGTGGGTTCATTGGTGTTAAAAATGGTAACTAAGTAGAACTAATTTGGCTCTATTTATGCTAGCTTCAACTCGAATCATTGCTCTTTGCTTAACTTCAAATTCAGCTCAAACAAATACTAAAACTTTCCTATTCAACTTGAATCAAAAAAAGAATCTTTGAACTTAACAAAGTAATTTCAAAACCCATAATTAAATAGAAACGACTTCATTTGCAATAAATAAACCTAAATAAAAGTTCTAATCAAGTGTGAAATAGATAAAGCATAATTAAGTAATAGTAATTTAAAGAAAGAAAGTAAGGCGAAAAATACATTTGAGCTGCGGGCGATTGGAATACTTCTTTTGCATAGCTTCAACCACGACAGATGATATGTCTACGCTGACAACATCCTCGTAGCCATCATCGATCATTCCCTCACTAAATGCTGTATACACGCATCAAAACAGATTTACAGAATAAAACAATGCGGTGTAAAAAGGGTAATGAACGGGCATTTTTGAAAATAATTTTGAGTGGTAATTTGGCGAGAACGTATGAAGTAATATGGGTATAAAAAAAAAAAAAGAGAGATCCCGAAGGGGGTGCAGGAAGAAGCACCTGAGTTGCCGCAGCCGACGACAAGGATGCGTTGGTGGCGATGAGGGATGTAGAGATTAATGAGAGGAGACAAGGAAGGGTACTTCTGGTACCAATCGAAGAGTCCCGATTCGTGGCGTAGCGGGTTGTCCCAGTACCATGGTTCGCCGTATGCTTGCGTCGTCGTCCCCAATTGTCATCCGACTCATGTCTCCTGTGGTCTTCTAATTTGTGCGAGAGTATCGAACTTCATTTTTTATTTTTCTTAAAATATTGTAATTCATTTCCGGGTTAACGGATCGGGTCGGCTAGCGGACATTTCAGCTCTGCTAGCTTCTCCTAAGGACACGTCGAGGTCAGATCACGTACGTGTCCTCTGCGGAAACCACAAGACTTGTATTCTCAACTCTTAAATACCAAGTTTTCAGTTAAATTTATTTATACGAGAATTCATTTACAGTCTTAAATGCTCAACCAGTTGTGTGTACAGCTTTTACTTTCAAAAGGATTCAAATGCTGATTATCATTCTTTACTGTTTGAGAAAGAAGCAAATTATATATAAATTCAATTTTGAGTTTTTGTTCCAAACAAACAAGGTGCAGACATTGTCTTGTCAAAACTGAAGCAGGGTTTGGTAACATGTTACAACCAAAAAGTTTGAAGAATTAAAAAAAAAAAAAGAAGAAGCCTGTATGATGGAAGTAGAATGCTGGAGTTTTTATCTATCTCTTCTTTCTTCCACCCTTCCCAGACTTGGAAGAAGGCCCTGCATTTGATGATGCCGAAGAGGCTTCCTGCTTCTTAGCTCTCCCGGGATGTCTCGGTACCAACTCTGCCACATGGACCATCAACTGTTTTCCTGCAGCATACAAAATAAACACCCATATGTAACATCACATGCAATAGAGATTCCACCTTGTCTTGGGATGAAAAGGAGGTTTCTAATTGAAAAACAAGTTAGTACTTCCCTAACTACTTCAACTGTTGGTTTATTCTATTCCTCTACTCAATTTGACTCGACTCCTGGGTTGGATTCTTTTGTTAATGAATTTCTATTCTCTAGAAAAGTACAAACCATTTAGATCTCATCTATTGTTTCTGGTGATTTGTTTTTTCCAAACCAGCCACGGAGTATCACAGTAGATGACAAGACAAATAGTGAGTTTAGATAATAAACACCTAAAAAACAAACTTAATTGAATTCTTGGATATAAGTGCTTTCAGTGAAAAATGCAATTACAGAATATATAGTCCTTTTGGTTCTCCTAAGGTTGGAATGCAGGGATTATGGGGGATTAACACCTAAGAACTTAGTTATTCTAAAAGCATGCAAAACAAATAAAGTCATAATTATCATAATTTAATAAATTTTCTATCTTAAATTATGAAAATAATTTATTTATTAAGAAAAACAGTACATTAAGATAATTAAAAGAGACATACATCAAGTTAGATAATAGAGAAAATCAAATAAATCATGAAATGCTCTAAATTTCGTGTCATGCTTCACGAAATCGTTACAATTTCCATCTCTAAAGGCAAACACAGATAACGACAATTTGCTTAGGCACAATTCTGGCTGGCCAAAGCATGATATGATCTACAACTATGGTCGTACTAACCATAGTGGTCCTATCAGATATCTATAGTCACGACAGTACTTAACCAAATGTGACCCTTAACAGATATTCACGTCACCACTCTTGTCAGAAGGTACAGAAGGTACACTGTCATCCACAGGGAGTGGTTCTCTTACGTCTTTTCAGACTAGATGGAGGAGGAGGACACAGATACCCCTGTTGGGGCAAGGGGAACAGATATCCCTCAGAGATAAAAAGTCTAACGAGACACTTGATGTGTTATGCATGTCAATATAGATACATACTTCAGACCATTCATGCTTCATTTCGTTTTTTTTTTTATTGTTTCTTTTTCTTTTACGAGACTCTCTAGCTACAACTAGAATTCTTTGCAATCCTTACTTGAAGAAATGGCTGGATTGAGTAAAGTCCCATCTTCCCTTTTTAGCAAAACCCTTACTCTTCCTACTTGCATGAAATCACGTGAATATGCCTTGTCAACCTATAATCCAAAATATCACAATCTGTTAGAAAAAAAAGCACCAGTTTATTTATTAAAAATACAGCTCTTGATGTGAGCAAAAGAGAAAAGAGGGAAACGATGAAGATGGTATTCAGCTACAAATTTTGGGGAATTGCCACAAATATAGCTAGCGGGGTTTTATTTACATGAAAGGCAGAAAAGTCCTTGGATTTTGTGTCCTAAAGCTTGACTTGTCAACATTACGGCTACTAATCATTTTGAATGCACTATATACCCAAAGAAAAATGCAAAGAGGGTGAATTTAGCTTCTACAAGTAGGTTGATGATTTCTCTTCTTTGTTTTGAAAACTTGCTAATGAGAATCCATTCTTACAGGAGTTCTATAAACTGTGAGATCATTATCATTAAACCAACCAGGTATTAACACAATGGAGAACTGATGAATTGATGACAAACCTCAATTCTATATGGGAGTTTGAGATGACTGCAGCAATCGCCAATCTCCATGCAAGTAGGGTTTTCACATGCTTTGCTCACACTTATTCTTCTCCCCTCAGCTATAGTTTTCTTGGAATTTATATAAACAGGATACAAAACTATCCATTTCTTGATGTCTTCTGAGTTTGCGATGTCCATCTGTCAAATGAAGAGCATCAAAGGACATTAATTTTTCTAGATCCCTACAGCCAAAAAAATTATAGCAGATATAGTGATTCAAGCACCTCTAAGCTAGATGTTAAGTACTGCATGATTAACATTGAATATCATTCTTCAAAATTTACAGCTCAAGTCCTTCTATATATTTTGACAACAAGCAGCAGTAATTCAAACCCATATAGGCTTGGTGTTACATAATGATTTCCTGACAGTAATAACAGCAACAGTTCAAAGTGCTCATAACTTTCGTACCAGATGGATATGTGAAATCAGGATATAACAAGCCATTTTTTGAGCTACCTCAATCTGGCAGAAGCAAGATTGCAATGCGCTAACAACAATATCTATCCCTTTAACCAGTCCTTGTTCCCAATCTTAAGTTAAGAAGCAGACAAACATCAAGTACTATTCTTCCTTATATATATGTATGTACAGAGCGGGATAGCAAGATTTACGACTAAAAACACCTCAGATCAAATCAGAGAGTACAAGAGGACGCCTTCTTTACCAATACATTCCTAACTTCATCTAAACCCATCTGAAGATCCAATTCCCATTAATCAGACCCCAGATCAAATATACACACTTTCAAAGACCAGACTTCATCCAGGAATAACAAACAAAAATAATCAAAAAAATACCAAACGCCTCTTCGTCATAGCCCCTCAACACATCTCTGAGAAAAAACCTTTCCAAAACCTTTCCAAACCCTGAATAGTGCACCCTAACTCTCCCATAGTTGACCCTTAAACCTAAGAAATTCGGTAATTAACTTAAATTTTTCCTTTCAAAAGAAAAAAGAACAATGTGGAGACGAACCTGATATGGGAACAAAATAAGGTACGTAATCGAATTGCTGTAGATATATTCTCCCGCTCTCTATCTCTCCTTGACGCGACGGAATGAAAAGGACTGTCGTATGATAGAATTGCAGCGGGAATCGAATAGTGGAAGAAGCAGAAATGGTGATTCTGAGAAGAAGGGATTCTCAAAAGCCAGAAAGCTACTGACGGGAGGGAGATGGTGAGTCGGGAAATTGAACAGCAGAAAAGAGGAGGAGAAAAAGAGGGAGGAGGAGACCAAATGCAAGGAGGCAAACGCGTGCAGAAGCCCAGACCAACGCGGTCCCAAGCCCATACTAGTTTCTGTTGAAGTTGGGCCAGAGTAGCGTCATCACCCCGCCCTTTAGCACGTGACTCACGTGACACAGAAGTTTTCTCTTCAAAATTGAATCGGGATGAAGGCTTGCTCAAGAAGCTCGAAGCTACCAACAGACAGCTTCAGGTGAAAATGGAAGGAAATTAACAGAAAAACTTCAAAATAGAAGGAAAATGGGAGGAGCAGAGGCGTGCTTCGATTGTCTCCGTCAACGAATAAACTCTGATTTTTCATGCCAACTGCTCTTCTGTCATGGCATCTCTGATTCTCCTCTCCCTTTCTCTTCCTCCGCAGTTGTTCAGGTCTCTCTCATTCTCTGTGTGTTTCTCTTTATCAATATGTTATTATTTTCCAGTTGAAATACGTTTTTTCGTGGTGCTACAGATGTCTAGTTATAGCGGGGAGGCGTCTGCTTCATCTGCTTCTCAGTTCGTTTTGGTGTATCTGCAGAGACACGAGCATGATTGCTTGTCCAAATATATGTATGATTTTCTATTCTCCATCAACTTAACAACTTATTTTCTCTCTTTTATGTTTATAGTAATTAAAGCTTCAAGGGTAATCAAATTGCGATGCCAGCTTTTGATTGTAGGAATTGAAATAATTAGAGATAAAAAGGGTGATAATCTTCCAAAACATTGATTTATGCTTAAGTCTATAAAACTGACAATGAAATATAGTCAAGCATTCTGAAGAATCATTTTTAGCTGTTCATACTTAGACGAACGGTGTAGAGGTAAAAAATGACATTGGGTTTTGATCTCAGAGATGAATGTATTTTACAAGATCAAGAACACGGGAATATAGGAGTTGAGGATGCTACTCCTTTATCTGAAGTAAATGGTGGTGAATATGAGGTTGGTGTTGAGATCCTTAGTGACTCATCAAATTATTCGTGTAGTAAATCTCAGTCTTCTTCAAATGGTGGCATAAAAGCATCCCTAGGTGGATTTGCATATGGAAGTTCTACTTGTAAGCATTCAGATAGGTTCTCTTGCTCCAGAATAATCACTGCTTTGGCCCCTATTGCTCATGTTGGCATTTGCTTTTACTCTATCTTTGAAGAACTTGCTTCCAACTTCCTCTCTGGGTGCCTGGAGGATCATATACTCTGCTCACTAAATCTCTTGATTGAAGGAAAGGCTTCTGTGGGTGATAGTGTAAATTTTCTTCGTTTGGTTGGGATACCATCTTTTGAAGAGAACAGCATCCCTGGCTGTTTGAGGCACCCGAACATAGTTCCATTGCTTGGTTTGCTAAAATCATCTGATCAGATTGCCTTGGTGCTCCCAAAAGCTCCATATACCTTGGAAAATATCCTACACTACAGTCCCCAGACTTTAAAGTCAGAGTGGCACATAAGGTTTATGATGTATCAGCTGCTGTCTGCCTTGGCTTACTTACACAGTTTGGGGTTTTCACATGGCAATATACGTCCATCCAGCATAATGTTGAGTAGCACATGCTGGTCTTGGTTGCACATTTATGACAAACCTAAGCTAGGATATGGTTTTAGTTGCACAGAGGGTTGTTCTCTTCAAGGAGTTTATGCTGATCTAAGACTTTCATCTTCCTTGGATTGGCATTCTCATTTTCATAGATGGTGGAGTTGTGAGCTAAGTAATTTCGAGTATTTACTCTTTTTAAACAGACTAGCTGGGAGAAGGTGGGGAGACCATACATTTCACACAGTAATGCCATGGGTCATAGATTTTAGCAGGAAACCTGATGAGGCATCTGATTTAGGTTGGCGGGATCTAAGCAAGAGCAAATGGCGTTTGGCAAAAGGTGATGAGCAGTTGGACTTCACCTATTCAACATCTGAAATTCCGCATCACGTGTCAGATGAATGTCTTTCTGAATTGGCTGTCTGCAGTTACAAAGCAAGGAGGCTGCCCTTGAGTGTCTTACGAATGGCTGTTCGTTCTGTTTATGAACCAAATGAGTATCCTTCTACCATGCAAAGACTTTACCAATGGACCCCTGATGAGTGTATCCCGGAGTTCTATTGTGATCCCCAGATCTTTTACTCTCTTCATTCTGGGATGACTGATTTGGCTGTACCGTCATGGGCGAGTGATCCTACTGAATTCATCAAATTGCATCGAGATGCTCTGGAAAGCCACCGTGTCTCTTCCCAAATCCATCACTGGATTGATATCACTTTTGGATACAAAATGTCAGGGCAGGCAGCTGTTGCTGCAAAGAATGTTATGCTTCCTTCATCAGATCCGACAAAGCCGAGGTCATTTGGACGTCGTCAACTTTTTATGCAACCACATCCTGTGCGTCGTTGTGCCACCTGCAAGAAGGATAATGGTGAGAATGTGTCAGCTCTGCATCTTTTGCAATGTAGTAGAGTTGATAATGACAAACCCATTCTCCCGGTAACTACCTATCTAGAAGAGTTGGAGGAGACATCCACTTTTTCTGAGAATGCTAGGCATTTGAGCCCTTGCTATTATCGCCAGCAAGACAGCCAGGTGAAGCTCATGTCTCCTGTTGAAGAGTCAGTAAATGCGTGTCCTAAGGGAAGTAATTTCGGTAAACTTGATATTTCCAGAAACTACGGGTTGCCATGCAAAATTGATTTAAACTATCTTCTTGAGAATATTGAAGTGGAGAATGAAGGTTCTGTGGGTTACCAGGAATTGTTATTATGGCAGCAGAAATCTTCATATCTGAGGAATTCCTCTGAGGATGCTGCTGAGGATATATTTTCTATTGGTTGTGTCTTAGCAGAAATTTATTTAAGAAGGCCTCTTTTTGATTCCAGCTCATTAGCTAGATACCTGGAAGGTGGTATCTTGCCTGAGTTGATGCAAGAACTTCCTTCTCACACTAAAGTGGTTGTTGAAGCATGCCTAGAAAAAGACTGGCACAGGTATTGAACTCTCACTTTTATCTCTCAAGCATTCTTTCACCAATCCTTTTTGTCAACAAATTAAAGATGATATTTAAAAGAAAAAGTTCTGAACATTTTCATGTCATTACTTAAAAATAATTTAGGAGGCCGACAGCAAAATGTCTTTTGGAATCTCCATATTTCTCAGCAACAGTGAAATCATCTTACTTGTTTATTGCGCCCCTTCAGCTTCTAGCCAAAGATGCATCACGCCTTCATTATGCAGCGAATTTTGCGAAAGAAGGAGCCCTAAAAAAAATTGGGAGCTTTGCAGCTGAAATGTCTGCTCCGTACTGTTTACCCCTTATAGTCAAACCTCTATTTGGTGTTGAAGCAGAATGGGCTTACATACTGCTGAAGGAATTCATAAAATGTTTGACACCCGAGGCAGTAAAGACCTTAGTCTTGCCTATCATTCAGAAGATTCTACAGGTTATTTACCTACTTTTCCCCTTATGATCCCTTTATTTATTTATTTTTCTTTCTTTCTTTTAATTGAAGCATCAATTTCAGGCGACGGATTATTCTCACTTGAAAGTTTCGCTTCTTCAAGACTCATTTGTGCGAGAAATATGGAATCGGATTGGCAAACAAGCATATCTTGAAAC